CACAGATCAAGGCCCTCACAGTGAGGGAGGGAGTGGGGCAGGGCGTGGGGGCAGGCACCGCTCAGCCGGGTGAGGCACAGGACCGCTCCTACCACTGCACACACCCCTGCCATCGGTATCGACCAAAAAAATCTCTATCGGTGCACCCCTGCACAGTGCCACTTTAACTGTATTACCTCAGTTGGGGTACTTCCCCTACCACCATTGTGGTCATGGTATTTCCCATGCCAGGCCCCCACAGGTGTCAGATGGGGCCTTCCCACCACAGCAGCAAGACTCCCAGCCCCACAGTGGTCTGCCCAAGCCCCTGCAGCAGTGGGGCCCAGGCAGGGCGACAGGCTCCCTATACCTCCTGCTGCACTTGTGCCTGCTGCTGCAGCCCAGACCTGGAAGGCTCTTCCACGCTGCCAGGCCAGGACCTCCCCAGCTCCTCCAGAGGGAAAACGGGGTCCAGTCCCAGCAGGGTGGACTCCACCAGGCACATTGTGTCCTTCCCCATCCTGTCCATGGCACTAGGACCATGCGGGGCCTGAAGGGGGTTGAGCATGCAGCTGTCTTGGCCCGAGGAGGCTTTATGGCAACTAGAGCAGGCAGTGCTGGATCTGAAGGATCACTGCCAGCCCCTCGCACAGTGAGCGCAGCCTCAGGGGGTTCTTGAGGGGTGGCAGCACAGCAGCTCCAGCCTGGAAGACTGCTGTTGCAGCCCTAATGCTGCCCCCAGGATCCCTGCTGTGCCATCATGCCCCTCCCCCCTCCCCAAAGCAGCACAATCTAGGCACAGGAGATGTGCACAGCCCTGGCCCCAGCCCCTACCTGTGGGGGTGAGGGAAAGCCATGGCTCTGCAGCTGGGCAGTGCCCCATGGTGGGTGGCTCAGCTGCACCCGCCATCTCCTACCCCACCAGTAGCCTGGGGCCTGCACAGCACCAGGAGCACAGTTAAGACATAAGGGGGCCAGGGCTGTCCCTGCTAGAGGTTACTAAACAGTAAGCAGTAAAGGTATAAAAATAATTTTTTTTAACTATTTACATCCCTAATATAGAAGCGTATGGAAACTATGCCTGAGAACATATACTGCACCATAGTCCTATGGCCTGAAAAGCAGAAGGTTAAGTCACTTCCTCCACCTGCTCTGACCTGCCTGTTCTGGGAACACCTCTCTATACAGACAGTTAGACTGGTTTAACTGGCATGAATGCATGTGTGTAAACTGAAAACTAAATGCTCATGTGCAAGTATAAGACAGAATGTAAATAGGAAATGGAAAAAAAACGAATGGAAAGACAGTGAAGTGAGCTTGAACAGCAAGTGGAGGCTGTGCATGGGAGAAGTCTGTGAATGGAAAGAAGAGGGAGGAAAACGTAAGAACACTGAATGGAGAAGTTCACAGGAGGAAATAAGCAAGACGATGCATCAGTATTGAGTCAGGGAGCATCCAGCAATTGTTAGAAAGAAAAGAAAATGGATGAGACCAGAGTAGGGGGTAGAGATTTGGGGACAAACAATAAATTAAGAAGAAAAAAACAGAGTGAGGGAAATAGTAGCTTGGCTCAACAAGGTGTTGAAGAGGAACCCTAAAGGCAGTGGTCACTAATCCATGGCTCAGGTGACATTGCCCATGGGACCCCTCCAACACCACCTGTGGCCACAGGCAATTAGAAAGTTAAAACTGAAGTTGGCAAAGACAATGAAGCATGATGTTGTCTGTAGCATTACTTGCTTAGCACTGCTGCCCACAAGCCAGCATTGATTGGGTACCACTAATTTAAAGTGCTAATGAAGAAACTTCTTGTTCTCATAGATGAGAGACTAAATATAACCAAAATGTCCCAATAAATTAAACAGTGATTCTCTGGAGGGGGATAATTTCACTAATTTATAGCAACAGCTGAAATTTCTGA